GATGTTTTTATCTTCTCTTAAAAGAATCCTGTCAAAGTATATGTAATGCCAGATGGCCAAAAAACTACCATCCACAAAAGAGCCGCCATCAGCTTCCTATATATCTCTCCGCTCCATTTGTACAAACTGTGCAAACCATCCTCATCCGTCGATTTCATTGTATAATCTTATGAAAAAATTTTAATGAAATTGTTTAATCTTGTGAAATTGTTTCATATAATACTTTTTTTGATGAAGTTTTTTTTTTCGTATATGGTTATGAAATTGTTTCATATAATACTTAATGAAATTTTAATGAAACTGTTTCATGTATTTCTCTAAAATTAAAATAATGAAGATGATAATATTCATGATTAATACCCCCCACAATAAAAATGACTATCAATCTCTCAAAATTACAAAAATTATGAACAAAATGAAAAATTATGATTGGTTGAATGAGGTGTTTACGGTTTGTACAAATAACGTGGTTTGTAAAGTAAACCTCTTCTCTCTCTCTCTCTCTCTCTCTCTATATATATATATATATATATAGGGGCTCATTCAAGGAAGAACTGAATTGTTTGTGGTAACCGTGCGATCCAATCTCAACCACACAAATTAATAATCAGTGGTTGAAAATAAAAGAAAAATTAATTACTGAAATTCCAAAAATAACTCTCCAATATTTAATGTGAGTATGTAAATAAGGGCAAAAGGGTCAAAAAAATTTGTAATTTAATGAGACTATTTTGAGCGCGCTAGAAATCCGTTAATCTTCTAAAATTACATTTCATCAAATCAAAACAAAAAACACAAAAGATCCTATTGGTTGTGCGAGAAGAGGTGGAAAACAATTTGTAGGCTTTTGTTGAACATGTTGTGTTACATTGTGGTAGAAAAAAAAATTGTGGTTTCATGTGCTACTGAAAATATTGTGGTTTCATGTGGTAATTTTGACATCCTTCAACACACTGTCAATAGGGATTTATATGATTTATTTCCATTTTCTCAATCACATAGTAGCAAACCATACAAGACAACATCCAAACCACTAAACCCATGGTGAGAATTCTTTGTTAGCCTACAACCAAGAACTCATAAGTAATCATAAGGGGCTACAATTTCCAATAGTTACTACGTGGGACAAGGTGTTACAATACCAACAATGTATTAGGTAACACAAGATGTTGTGTTACATTTTGTAAAAAAAATATTGTGGTTTCATGTGCTACCCAAAAGATTATGGTTTCATGTGGTAATTTAACAATATAAAATCAAAATTAATTGGAAGTTTGAAACGTATGGAATTAATAAATAAATATTTAATCTAAATTTAGTAATTACTAACATGCCCTTTTATATTAATTTAAAAAGAATAATTAATATATTAAAATGATTGGTAGAGATTGGATCTCATTGTTAACACAAACAAAACAGTTTTCATTTGATTAAGCCCCTCTCTCTCTCTCTCTCTCTCTCTCTCTCTATATATATATATATATATATAGGGTTGGATTTTCCATCCTTGTATCAATCCTTATTGAATGTCAACAATAATGATATGCATCGAGATACATCGAATCAATTCCCTTCTAAAACACAATTCATGGGTGGACATTAGATTAAAAGTGTCCAAGGGTTCAGAATCCTTCTTACGTTTCTCACTATAACTTTCTTTCTCACACGATCATTTGCCTAACTATATATATACATATATATATACATACATATATATATATATATTTATATATACATATACATATATATATATATATATATGTGAGGTTTAAATATATACTCTCTAATTAACACAAATCTTGCAAACCAATCTCAAATGTTCATCAAGTCTAATGAATATTTGGTTTCATAAAATATCATGATTATATCATGATATAAAGCGTTAATCATAAATGAATTAACTTCGATCATCTCCCATAAATATTTAAATCATAATAGTAAACTTTCATCATTTTTATAAATATCTAATTTGATTGGTTTGTATGGTTTATATTAATTATAGGGTTTTGTTTTTAAAACTTCTATATATAGGGTTCGGTTCACATGAGAGCATATTTTTTTATGAGATCCGTGGGATCACAAAATAACAATAAAACTTCATAGAAAAACACTATGAAGGTAAAAAAAATCTGAACTTTTACAGTAAAAACACTGTGAAAGTTTACCTTCATAGTGTTTTGCTGTGAAGATTTAGTGTTATTTAGGTTGTCTCACTGGTCTCACAAAACAACCTGGTCTCACATGATCTCAGGTCTATATTTATACTACCTTAGAGAGAGAGAGAGAGAGAGAGAGAGTTAGTGAGGTTAAGGGGAAATCCTAAATAATTGAAAATCTAGAAAACATCTAATTACCAGTTAGATTAATTGATTTAGTGGATGTAATTAAATTAACGTTTACAACAAATTTTTCTCAATTAAAAAAAACCCCACTCCTCTTATTTTATCAAAAAAAAGTCGAAACTTAACAAAATTTAAGCGAAATAAATTTAAAAAAAAAAAACCGATCATATTTTTTTTCGTAAATTTAACATCATATATTAATATTCTTTTTCATCTATTTTTTTGTGGTCTTTTAGTTTTCCAGTTTATTTAATCATTTTCCGAAATACCTAACACTATATTTATACTATATTATATGGAGAGTTTATAAACAAATACAGATCTTGGGTATCATCCTCGATACTGAGATTTTTATGATATTAAATAAATGACTTCATTTTGGGCGGATAGCGGGAATCGAACCCGCGTCTTCTCCTTGGCAAAGAGAAATTTTACCATTCGACTATATCCGCTTTTTGTTTCGTTCTTGATACACAATATGTCCATAATCCACAATATGTTCACACATATATGATATATATGTCTGGAGCATATTTGTCTAGTGCTGGGCCGGAGACTCTCTTCAGATTGAGCCCAAATTTTTTATTAATTTGAATTGAATATTCATTTTTTTTTTCATTCAAGAACAAGAAGTTCGACCCCCTTCTAATTTTTCATTTTTTTCTTATATTTATTTGGGTTTTGGGGACTTATATTGAATGTGAATGTGTCTCACAACCAAGAATAATTCAGGGGGTCATTTCGGTTTTGGATCTAGGGCAATAGGTTCAAGAGATGAGAGAATTAAGGATACCCACCAAAAAGACTAATCCAATCCATAATGATGTACCTGAAAATACAACATTTTTGTTACTTGACCAACCATCAGGAGAAGCAAATACAACGGGTACGCTAATCAATAAGATTGATGAAGTAGCAATTAATGCAAAAACAACCAATTGGAAAGCAAGAGTCATGCTTTTAAT